TAAAATGTTTAAATAAAAATAGTTCATTATGCTCGTGTACTCCAATTTCAGTAAATATATTTCCAGAAAGCTAATATAGTTAAGAATAACTTTTAAGTATAGTTGCTTCCGGGCGTACAACCCGGACCTCTCTCCCCCTCGCCCAAAAATAAAAATAAAAATTAAGATATAACCCTAGTTATAGTAGACCTTTTGAATAATTACTGCAATGTTAATATTTTTACTTTATGTAAGACCGTAGGCTATGAAATATTGAAATTTTTTTTACATAGGGAATTTTAATAAAAGGAATTGGTTATTTTACCGTGGCTCGATGGGAGTTAAATGAAAGCAAAGTACATCCATATACAATTAGGAAGCCGGTTTTTGTGATTGATGAAAAATTAGCGAATGATTTCAATTTAAAAAGAAGAAGACCCTATAATTTGGGAACTGTAAGTACTTTTTTTATTCAAACCATGTAAATATACCTATCGAATCAAATATAAAAAATAGGTTTACATATTGTAGCTATTAAAATCAAACTTATGATAAAATTATTACAATTATAAGAAAGTACTCAAATGTTATTAATTATTTCCAACTGTTTACAAATACAGATACCAGAACGCTATTTCAATGTTTTAACAATAGCTCAAAATTTTCAATTAAATATTGATATGGTCACTCATTGTTTCAAAGAAGTTGTTGCAGCGTTTAGAAAGTTACTATTTGAAGAGAAAAATTGTGAACTTCCTTTCCCGAAAATTGGTAAACTACAAATAAAAAACAAAATGGTAACAATGAAGTATTACCAAGAGTTTATAGACCGACAAAACCAGCATTTAAAGAATCGTATGGTAGAAAATAAAAAAAAAAACCAAGCTATCAACTATAATCCCGATTGGGATGCTGATCAATATGAAAACCGAGTAAGTTATTATGAATAAATGGCTAGTAAGATTAATTTTTAATTGTGTTTAATCTTATTTTATCTATAAAAATACGAACATTTTCAAATTCCAAAAACAAAAATTAAAACATTAAAATCGTGTATAATGTCAGTTTTATGAATAATACACTTCTACAGTTATTTATAATATAATACGTAATACGTACAAAGTATAAATTAAGCCTTCGGCGTATAAAAGTTTTTATGTTTTCAATAACACGTTATATATTATATAATATTAGTGAAGTTATTAAGTTTTTTGAAAAATAAAACTTGTTAGTTACAAATTATTTCATGTTGTATACGCGTGATTTATTACATTATTTTTACCATAATAATATTACATTTTGACTTTTTAGACAACAAAAAGAATTTTTATCCCACCTTGACACTTTTATGACTCTTAAAAAGAAAAAATATTTAAAATATAAATCTACTTGTTTATTAGACATTATAATACGGTAGACATTAATTCTAAACATTTTTTTGGTTAATTATACTTTCAAAAGGTATTATACCCAAACCTGTATTAGAAAAGTCGTTACTAAAATATTAATAACAATTATTGATCATTGAAATTATTGAGATATCTCTTTGATTTACAAGGGGGACGAAATAAACCAAATATCAGTGTAATAATATGGATTTTAAACATTAATATGGATTTTAAACATTTTTCTCGATAGCATTAGAATTTGTAGAGTTTAACTATATGTAACTTACAATTGTATGATATTGTCATACAACGACACCTGACATAATAAATTTCACAACTTGCGCATAGAAACGACCGTGCTCCGCAATGTCAACCATCTCTCGTCCGGCGTCTTCGTTGTCACAGTACAGACCAGGGACCGGATACGAAGGCGTGTTGCCCGATACTGACGGTACAACGGATCGACCCAGCTCTAGGCTGTCTGTGCATTCCAACTACAACGACGGTGACGACAGCATGATGTGCAGACCTGGCTCAAGGCTGTCCGTTCGTTCATACACTTCACACATCCAGACTAGACCCCACTCTCGTCCAGCGTCTTCGTTGTCACAGCACAGACCAGGGACCGGAAACGAAGGAATGTTGCTCAATACCGACGACACAGCGAACAGGCCCAACTCCAGACTGTCTACACATGTCAAAAACGACGTTGACGACGGCCCCGACATTATCTGCAGACCCGACTCGAGACTGTCTGTCCGTTCCAACACTTCCCATGGACAGACTAGACCCCAGTCCAGATCATCGCTACAGTCCCATAAACAGCCGACAAGTAGACCCGTGTCCAGGACGTCTGTCCAGTTAGCCGAAGTCGATAGACCTGTATCCAGATCTCGGACCATGTCCTGTGACCAGATTCATCAGACTAGCACGTCAAAACAAAAGTGGCCGTCGTCCGGAACATCAGTTCGGTCGGTGAGATCTAACTGCAGCTTGCTGTCGAACCACAAGACATCTTCTTCCTCTGCTTGCCCCACTAAATTAGTCGAAGAATGTAACGACTATGCTCCACCAGAATCGGTGACACGTTGTGCGGTCGAGCCCACTGTTCGACCGTGCTCGAATTTGTCGACTTCGAAACGTGAAGAAGACGATCGTGGTGTTAATGAAAAAATTGCATTGCTATTATTTGGACGCGATAGAGGTAAGTCATTTTTTTAGTTGATCATCGCCCAAAACGCGTTATATTTATATTTTGGAAAATAGAACCATCTCTCTATTAGTTTAGAATAATATTGTTCATAAAAATTCTACAGTAGGCTCCGTTTAATGTGACCAGTGGGCAAGGATGAGATTGGCCAGCCGACTTGCATGGGAAAAGTACGTCGTGGTCCCCGAAATATTTAATACCCCTTGAAATGATGAGTTTTCGTTTTACCTGTCATTAGAGTCACAAATAATTAGTAAACATTTTTTGTTAGATACCATACATATTTTGGTCAGTGTTTAAAACTAAATTTTATCGCAAACATTTATTGTCAACTAATTTTCGGTGTATATTTTCTAAATTACGGTTTTAGCAATAAAACTATTTTCATTAGTTTCTTGATAAATAAACATTTTATGTTTATTATTAAACATTATTATGGAATAAAAATATTTCTCGTGGGTGTTTACGTGGGTCACTTTTTGTTGGAAAATTATAGGGCCTTTCCATTCCCCGCGGAAAAAAATCGATTGTGTTGACCTGTTGATTATAAACCAAGATAATTTAACAGCGTATTCGATAAATGATATTGGGTTTTGGGTTTTGCGAATACGATCAAAATTTACAAATAAACGTTAAATTCGGTGATCACATTAGGGTATTTCACACAGTATTACAGACTGACACGAACCTAAACGTCCCAAACAAAGCGTGCACTGGCGGAAACAATATAATATAATATAATATGACCGGCTCGGTTAGCTCGCAACCGTAACCTCAAACTCATTGTCTTAAGATGACCTTTAACCGGAATCCATAGTGAATTGAATTAAATGTATTTGAATATTTTCTACAGGGTGATTCTTATACCGTAACACTCATTATTAATTACGAACGTTTTTAAAAACATTGTTACTACGTAAAAATAATGTTGAAAAAATAAATTGTTTTCTAATTTTTATGGCTTGAATTTTTTGAATCACAGCATACTTTTTATTTCATATTCTAAAATAGATTATTTTTTGGAGATTTCGTTTGTGTAATATTGTAATAATCGAAGTTTGGACAAGTAGCAAATTAGTTATAAGTATGTTTTTTTAAATGGTAAAAATTATTTTTTTTTTTTTTAAAATATTTTTTGTTATAACTTTAAATTATTGTCTAATAAGTTATTGAAGGGTCTACAACGATGATTAATAATCTGGAAGCCCATAATTAATAAACTTATATTTTCATTTTCACACCATATAAACATGAAATATTAATCATCGGGAACTATAACGTTTTAATATGATCTCATTGAATCAGCGAACTGCGATCTCTTAATATTCTATAAAGGATACTAAAACATAGCAAAGTTGAAAAAAACTAAAAATAATTAAATATTCAATAACAAGTTCAGGGTTAAATATGTTAAGTATGCTTCTGTCTATAGTTTTAATCTCTGTCATATATTGTGACATTTAAAAGATATCATAATATTATAATGATTTGCGAATAGGTATTTGGTGGTATACTGATATTGTATCTACTAATTTGTATACATATTTTATCAATCTAGCGACTAATGTTAATATTTTATTGTGCGGTTACATATTTCCGTTTCCTTATCTATAGTTTAAAATATTCAAAAAATAATCCATTCCGCTACAATAAAATTCATAGAAAATAATTTAATTCAGCTATTATGTATATGTAAAACTGCAGGCTAGTAGCTACGGCTGTATAATTCAACAGTGCGCATTAACTCTATAAATAACTTAATAACCAATACCTGAAAGTCACGTCATTCTTAAACATCCTGTAGTCAAACATAACGGTTATAACCCACGTAGGTACGGATACACATAAACTATCATAGTAATATTTTTTATATTTATTATATTATCGTAATATTTCTGCTCAGTTGGACGATAATTAAGGAATGCAAATTGTACATTCTGAATAATTTATTTAACTCTGTTATGTTTATTATAAGAGGGAATAGTCAACCATTTATCAAATTCAAAAGTAAGAATATTATCTAGTGAATATCGTAAGGTTTTTATTTACATTTTAATTAAAAAGCGGGTTACAACTTTACAAGTATTCTAAAATTGTTGATTGTTTGTACATCTTAAAACACCTACTCATAACTCAATTTAAAATTGAAACATAAAAAAATGATGGGATTTACTACACAATATTTTTACTTTTAAATCTGATAGATCTCGAAGGTCAATTTCCTCCAGTGTTAAACATAACAGATTTAAATGGATTATTCAGAACGTACATTTACCATGTTCTCTTAAAATTAGTAAATTATTATATCAATTTATTTTGGTTTTTACAACAATATAATAAATAATGATATGACAGTTAAATATATTATATTAGTAAAATACAATTTTTATTTTAATATGTCATAATAATTATGTTTCAGATGAAACCCTCTGTCATTCGTGTAATATTAGAGAATATCGTTTAAGAAACATCGATAATATATATAAACCTAATTTATCGGATAATAGAGATAACTTCATGAAAGGAGATAATCCAATAAATGGACTTTTAGGCAATGTACATACAATGAAGAGTCTTTAAACATTCACACGCGTAGACCTTATACTACAAGCAATGAGTGCATGGAAAGCGTAACAACATAGAGGGCGCTTTTTGATTACTCGATTACTCGTACGAATGGTAGTGCGGGGTAGCAGGGTAAGATATATAGATTATTTTGTATTTTTCGTAAAGATAGCCTACGTGGATGTGAGATGTTGTTACGCCGCTCGTAATGCTATTTTATTTAGTAGTATGAAGTCTATGTTCAGACGCAAAGTTATTGTATGATAATGGTTAACACAAGTGTATTTATGTTTAGGAAATTCTAAATAAACGCAAAGATCAACTAATGAAAATATCCAACTATAACTACAACACTGCAAAAGAATTATTAAATACAATTGAAAACGAAAAAAAGAAAAATCGGAAAGAAAAAAATAATGAGAGCTATGTATTGAAACAAGTAAAATAATAATATATCAATTATATTCTAATGAGTTTAGTAGTGGAAATATTTAATATACAAAATATGTTTTGACAATTTATTGGTATAGAGACCATCAAGTATTACAAATTTTGAAAAAAGAGTCAACTTTAAGCACTCATTACTAGATCAAATAGAATGTAACAAGGTTAAAAAAGAAACAGACAAGATCGCATCTTTAAAATGTGAAAAACTGATGCAAAAAGAATTGTTAAAAAAGTAAAAATATTATATTGCCATGTATCTAAAAATACTTTATGAACTTTTTAAATTACATTTAGTCTATATGATGAAAGAATAAGAAATATAGAAGCAAAAAACCGGTCAAAAGAAAATTATTTAATTATCCTTGATGAACACCTAAAAAATAAAACTAAAATTACAGAAGAACAGAAGACAAAAGATAAGACAATACCATTGTCTCAAACTTTTAGTTTCGGCCCTGATCAAGCTAAATTGCAGAAATTTGACAATTGGTAAGTCGATTTATATCAATCATATTTTGTTAAATTATATTTATATTTTAATATATTTATAACATAATAAAATAATAAATGTATTAGGTAATTAAACTGGATAATAGTTGAAGAACCTAAATATACAAGGTGGCCCATTTAACCTTCATTATAAAACGTATCTACACTCATTATTTCGGAGTTAAAAATTTTTTTGAAAATATTTTTCTACATAATTTTATTTTATTACAAAACCACATTTTACAATTTTTATGTTATCATTTATTAATTATTTTACTTTTTTGAATGACTACATGTTGTACAATGTCATAAAAATATGAAAAAATGTAAATGCTTATCGAAATAATGAGAGCAGACGTTTAAATGATCACCTTGTATACATTACCGTCTGTGGAATAAAATTGAGTTCGTGAAATTCTGATTCGATTAAATTGTATCTGCACAGATGTACTTACTTTTCTTTATTATCTAAAAATTAAATTGCTAGCCTACTTGTTTTATACATTTATAGATTATAATGCGATAAAATAAGTACAAATATAATTTGTATAGTGCCGTTATTCGTGTAACTTTAATGATTTGTTGAGTGAATTATGAAGGGACCCACGACTCACCAGTCACCACCAAACCACTAAACCACGTGATTTTATTAGGTACCTATATACTATATTGTATATTGTTATAATTTATATGCACATGCGAACTTTTAATTAAATTACACCGGAATAATGTAAAATTGATATTGGGATAATAATAAACCCCGCAAGAAATTATATCAATAATAATATTAATTTTCAGCGTATGTTTGGACTTATATTATATCGTGGGTACCATGGGAACATTTCGGTAACGGCTTCTTCAAACTAAATTGGGTTTTCATTCGTTTTCTACCAGTTTTTACAATAATTCTTGAACCTGTAAAAAACTTCAAGTTAGCAATAAATTATATTATTCCCAAGAATCAGTTGGCAGTGCATAGCATTTATGTGTCAACATTTTAAAAAGTACCAAAAATCTTTAGAAAAAAACATTTTAGTTGAAAACATGCGTAGGCCTTTACGTAGGCCATATTATAGAAACAGCTAGTAGCCAATATGACTATTGACTATTAGTGATTATAGGATATAGTTGGCATTTGTAAATAATTATACAGTAAATATAAAAATAAAATAAAGACATTTTAATGAAAAAATATACAATGTATATCAATATATCCAATACGTTTTATAAAAAAACATTCAATATATAATTTGGTGCAGCAGCGAAAAATAAAGTAGCACAATAAGCAAGATTATAAAATGTTATTTTTTTTATCTCTATCTTATGAACAAAATGTATAGCTGACTTAGTTTCATATAAGAACCGACATGTAGTAAGGAGTGCAAATACCTACAACACCTAAACTTTAAACATGAATTTATCTTTTAAATAATATACGTATTTTTTCTTTATATTGACTTACCGATCTATTCTCATCACACGCGTTTGATATTCTTTTGCTTACCCTCTTTCTATGATTCTAATATAAGATGATTTTTTACATTTAATGTTCTTAAAAAGCAAACAGTATACTTATTGATAATATATTAATAATTAATATTACAGTAATATATTGAGGGACAGTGCCGTGCCTAGCATAATCAGCGACCGGTGCCAAGGATCATTTTTAGCTCCCCCATCCCCTCCACCAAATATTTTTATAACTATAAGGAGACTCCGTAAGATTAAAGGAGATTAAACATTTTTACTGGCATGTACAACAATTTCTAAGGGAGAGGCTATTTTTTTGATTATATTTTATGCATCATATTGACAAAAGCAGTAATAATATTAAAATTACTATTCATTTTACTTGACTCGCAGGGTTTAACTTAGAAATTCACAAAATCTGTACACATTCGTACGACGTAAACGATGTATCCAACTGGTTTTTAAGCCGTTGAAGTATCTACCATGAAGTATTATTGAATTTGTCTATTTATAATAAATTAATAGCAAAAGTTTTTTTATTCTAATTATTGTATGCATTTACTTTTCAATATTCATTTGATATTTATGTTATTTATTTATTAATGCTATTAAAGTAATAATAATTATAATAATATTCTATGTAATAACTAATAATATTATGGTATATTATATTATTGCCATCGACGATCAACGACGTCATTTCGGGGAAAAAATAAATACCAACACAAAAAATAAAAACCAATTATATCCTTAGCTTCCTGAGATCTGATCGCCAAACAATAGATTTCAAAACGTTATCTCATTGCCCATCAAAATTATGAATCCTCAAAGTGAACACTATTTTGACAACCGGTAGTCGACATCGGCGATCAGGTGAATATTAATGATGTCAACTACTCGTCGAGACGGTGACGTTGAATGTGTAAAATATGATCAATTAATATGGTTAACTTTCAGTAATATTACCTAGATTATAAAAAAAGCTTTTGGCACACCGGTGGTCACGGGGCCCGGTGCACACGCGCCTCTCGCATCTCTACTGAGGTACGGTTTTACTGAACGGCATTACCAGAGATTCGTGTATCAAAAATAAGATTGATTTTTATCGATAATTAAACTTTAAAGTCAATAAACCACTTTATTAGATGTAGAGATTTCATAAATATTTCAATAACTTCTAAGAATCATGCGAGGTTCTCAATATAGATCTTTCTTGCGTTCATTTCCTAGAGATCATGCGTTCACATTTGATATTGAAATATTACTAATTTATATTTTATATTGAAAAAATAATTTAGTATGAGTATTTAGTATAGGTAGTTTATCCTCAAGTTATTTTCAAGCTTTCTTATTATACCTATCAATTTAGCCAATTACTTTATGTACTTAATTAGTTCAGACTACAGCTTTTTTTCTAACATCAATCATTTCAGAATTATTTATTCATTAAAGCTAATTAATTTCTCATCACTGTGAATAAACTTATAAACTAATAAAACTATAACATTTTGTGTCTTGCACTTATTATAGCTTATGTATACAGTATAATATATTTTATATAAAACTGGAGGAGTTTCTAAAAGAAATATAAAATATAATCTTATTTAATCAATGTTGCAAGATTAATGCTCACATCTAAATACTCAAAAATTCTTTGTCTTATCGATATATTTTAATTATTAATTTTAAATTAATTAAAGGTCATAATATATACATAAAAACAAATTAAATATTATTAAATAACAAATAAATAAACAAAATATGCTTGTGTTCTATACTTCTATGTTATTACAATAGATTATAGGGGACGAGGTGACCGAGTGGTCTGACTCTTCCGCTGCGACGCAGCCGGTCGCGGTTCGATCCTCGGCCACCGGGCGGCATTTTTCTCCGGACAATTCGCGGTGACCGGAGAGCAAGTGCTGCCATCCCCCACCCCCGGGGCATGGCAGAAACCTACGGGTGCCCCATTCGAAATTCTGCCAAA